GGCTCAGGCGATCCACTCACTTCAGCCTCCCAAAGGCACGGGATGACAGGCTGAGCCACCGAGCCCGGCTCCTTTTCCAACTTCTAGCGACTGCCCGTATCTCTTGGCTCAGGACTTCTTTCTTGTCCCCCAGAGCCAGCAACAAAGGGTCGTGCCCTGCTCACTTCATCTCTCTGGACTTCTTCCACCCTCACACCTCTCTAACTCTGCCGGGAGAGATTTTCCGATTTTAAAGACTCATGTGATTAGTGCGAACTCACTCCCATAATCCAGTATAATCTCCTCTCCTCAAAGTTCATCCTCTTAATCACATCTGCAAAGTGCCTTTGCCAAGTAAGGTAGCACATCCACAGTCTCTGGGGAGTGTGATGTGGACATCTTTGGAGACCAACCTGCCTGCCAGGGCATAGTCACCTCTTATTTATAGAAGTGGTACTATTTCCATTTAATGTAGCAAGACCAGATTTCCTTTTAGAGTACATTTCTTTTTCGGTCAAAATAGTTGGCTGACTTCAAGGACATGTTAGGTATGTAGTATTACATGTAGTTATTAGACAGGAAAAAAATAACCCAGGCCAGGCACTCTGGCCAGGCTCATGCTTGTAATCCCAGCATTTAGGGAGGCTGAGGCAGGAGGATTGCCTGAGCCCAGGAGTTTGAGACCAGCCAAGGCAGCATGATGAGACTTTGTCTCAAAAAAAAAAAAAAAAAAAATTAGCCAGGTGTCGTGACACATGCTTGTAGTCCCAGCGACTTGGGAGGCTGAGACAGGAGGATTGCTTGAGCCCAGGAGATTCAGGGTATGGTGAATCGTGATCACAGTCATGTCACTGCACTCCGGCCTGGGCGACAGAGTAAGACCCTAACTCAAAAAGAGAGAGAGAGAGAGAGAGAGAGAGAGAGAAAGAAAGAGAAAGAAAAGTACCCCAAACAGGCAAAGCAGCTGAATAATGACTGAGATTTGGAAAACTGAGACCTGGATGAGAAGGTTCCAGAGGCCTATCCCAAATGGGGAAGTAGCTGAAGTTGGAAGAAATCATGTCTGTCTGGTAGGAGGCCTGCCTCCCAGTGACCCAACAATAATCCTGTTGTTGACATAACCCTGTTGATCAAAGCAATCCCCCAACTGCCCCAGGCCGGTTCCTTTGGCTCTGGTGGAACTCCCTCAGAGGATCCGGATCCGGTCAATATAAAAAGGTCAGGTCCCAGGGTTGGGGAGCTACATTCTGCAGGAGGTGGCTGAGGATCGCTCCCCACCTGCTGGAGCCAGGCAGGCACTGTGGCGGCGGCATGGCCCCCTCAGAAGACCCCAGGGACTGGAGAGCCAGCCTCAAAGTCACCGGCCTTGAGACAGACCCGGACACCAGCACTGGTAAGAGGTGGCAGAAAGACCTGTTGAGCCTGGAATGGGAAGCGTTGGGGGAGGATCCCATGGCCGGCATCTACTTCCCTTGAGGCTGCCGGAATTCTCAAGCCGTGGGCGGGCTCCGTTTATTTCCTGTGTTAGCCAACGGAAGCTTCCTTTGGAGCCCATGTCGGAGCCCATGTCGGAGCCCATGTCGGAGCCCATGTCGAAGAGCACGTAGTTAAGAAAACAGATATGTGTATTCTTTGGATGACTTGAAAGTGACTTTTTTGCCTGAGCCCAAGGGTTCGAGACCTGCCTGGGCAGGCAAGACCTCATCTCTACCATAAATCAAAAAAAAAATTAGCCAGGCGTGGTAGTGCACGCCTGTAGTTCCAGCTACTTGGAAGGCTGAGGTGGAAAGATGTGGCCGGGAGCGGCCACTGCACTCCGGTCTGGGCGACAGAGTGAGACTCCAACTCAAAAAAAAAAAAAAAAAGAAAGTGACTTTTTTTTGGGGGGTCAAAGGCTCGCTCCGTTGCCCAGGCTGGAGTGCAATGGCATGCTCACAGCCACTGCAGCCTTGACCTGCTGGGCTCGGACGATCCTTCTGCCTCAGCCTTCCAAGTAGCTGGAATTACAGGTGTGTGCCACCACACCCAGCTAATTTTGTGATTTATTGTAGGAACCGACCTGGGGCAGTTGGAGGATTGCTTTGATCAACAGGGTTATGCCAATAGCAGGATTATTGTTGGGTCCCAAGGTCTCTCCAAGTTGTCCAGTTTGGTCTCAAATCCATGGGTTCAGGCAACCCTCTTACCTCTGCCTCTCAAAGTGCTGGGTTTACAGGCTTGAGCCACCATGCCCCGGCTGAAAGTGACTTTTTTAAGAGCACAGGCTCTGGATTCAGACAGACTTGCTCTAGTACGAGCTAATTGAGAAATCTCCTTCCTCTCTCCTGCACTGGGCTGGGGGATGCCCAAGGCAGATGAGACCGGGCACTGATGGGATCCTCTGAGGCTGTGGCCAAGATTATGTGGGAGGTGGGCAACACAGTGTTCCCCAAAGACCATCATCACTTGCACAAGTTGAGTCTCAGTTTCCTCATCTGTATGGATGACTGGGGCCTTCCTCTCTTGGGCTGAGGACCTTGCAGGCCACAGTATGGTCATGGACCAGCAGAACTGGCACCCCCTGGGATCTTGTTAGAGGTGCAGAATCTCAAGCTGGGCGTGGTGGCTCACACCTGTAATTCCAGCACTTTGGGAGGCAGAGGCAAGAGGATTGCCTGAGTCCATGGGTTCAAGACCAGCCTGGGCAACCTCTACAATAAATCAAAAAATTAGCCGGGGTGGTGGCACACACCAATAGTTCCAGCTACTTGGAAGGCTGAGGCAGAAGGATCACTTGAAACCAGCAGGTCGAGACTGCAGTGGCCGTGAGTGTGCCCCTGTACTTCAGCCTGGGTGACAGAGTGAGAAAGGATGGAGTGGGGGGGAGAGAGAGAAAGAAAGAAAGAGAGAGAGAAAGGAAAGGAAAGGGAAAGACAGAAAGGAAGGAAGGAAAGAAAAGAAAGAAAGACAGAAAGAAAGAAATGCAGAATCTCAGGTCCATACCAACCCTCTGCACCAGATTCTGCGTTTTAACACTCTCCCCTGGAGGTTCATGGGAACAGCAGAGAAACACTGAAGCGAGGACTTGGCGCTCCTGCCAGGCAGATGACTAATGAGTGGAGATTTAAACTCAGGGCTCTGATGCTGAAATCCCCACCTTAACTCCCACAGTCCTCCTATGTTTGTATATCAGCCAACCTCAGTTAAGCCCTCCTGAAGGAATGAACCAAAGAATTAATGAAACCACCACACATGTCCCTTGCTTGGGCTACACGGACCTTTGATCTTTTCCTCCCTTCTAGGTGAAAAGCTGCCCTGCCATCAGAAGTCCATCCCCACGGCTCACATGACGTTTGTCATCGACTGTGCCCATGGGAAGCAGCTCCCCATGGCCACATCCCCAGTGCCACCCCGAATCCCCAGTCCCAACCGAGGGCCTGTCACTCCACCAATGAAAATCTACATCGTATTCTGTGGGGAAAACCAGGCCCGCCCAACTCAGGAGACTCTCCCGGCCAGGGCCATGCTGCCGCCCTGCAGAGGGATCGTGGCTCCAGCTTCCTTCCCAGTCAGCCCGCTCTGTCCCCAGGAGGTTCCTGATGCAAAGGGGAGACGCTTGGAGGCTGTGTCCATGAGGTCTTCCACTTGGGGAACAGTCAAGGACTCGCTCAAAGCCCTCTCTTCCTGTGTCTGTGGGCAGGCTGATTAGCTGGAAGGGTGGCCCCGGGAGGAGGGGGTGGGCATCCAGGCTCCAGTGCTCCTGGGGCTGCAATTCCTGGGGCCACCCCTGTCTCCCCAAGCAGGAATCTCTCGAGCATTCCATCCTCTTCCTCCGGATCTCTGCCAGCCTCTCCGCAGAGGCAGAACAAGGCACCTGCACATGGAGAGAGACGGGTTCATTCACGCAGCAACATGGACGGAGCGTCCTCGATACACCAGGCCCTGGGGGTGTAGGGAAGATGCCAGGGCTTTCCCAGAGCTTATGTTTTTTGGGGTGGGGGAAGGGGAGAAGGGTTAAACGAATAACCAAATAAATAAAGAAGACGGTTTTGAAGTGATGCGTGCTGTTCAGGAACAGAAAAGACGCTAGGGTGGAGAGGGACTGACTGGGTGGAGAGCGGTCCTGACACAGTGCTTGGGAAGGGCCACTCTGAGCAGGTAGCCATCACAGTATGACCTGAAGGACGAGAAGGTGCCAGTCCCGGGAACACCCAGCCCTCCCAAGGCCACCTGCCGCCATCTTATCCCAGGGCATACCAGAGCAACGGCATGCCCCAGCATCACAGGTAGGGCAACTCAATGGTTACTGTCACCTTGGCTCAGAGGCAAGCGGGAAGGCATAGAACACTGCACAGGGAGACCTGAGGGCATGGCAGTGGGGGTATGGGAGACTCCATCCCAGAAGGCAGCCTGGTGAGAAATGAGGGATCTGGCTTCCCAAAAGCGGGGAGATGCTCACAGTGAAATGGAGTCTCATGTTTGAACAAATGAAAATAAGAGATTTGCCAGGCTCGGTGGCTCAGCCTGTAATCCCGCGACTTTGGGAGGCTGAGGTGAGTGGATTGCCTGAGCCCGCGGGTTCGAGACCCGCCTGGGCAGCGAGACCTCATTTCGACAATAAATCAAAAAATCAGCTGGGCGTGGTAGTGTATGCCTGTGGTTCCGGCTACTCGGAAGGCTGAGGCGGAAGGATCTCTGGAGCCCAGCAGGTCGAGGCTGTGGTGGCCGGGAGCGACCACTGCACTCCAGTCTGGGGACAGAGTGAGACTCCAACTCAAAAAAAAAAAAAAAAAAAAAAGAAAATAAGAGATGTGGTCTGGGCATGGTGGCTCACGTCTGGAATCTCAGCACGGTGGGAAGCTGAGACAGGAGGATCACTTGAGGCTAGGAATTTGAGAACCAGCCTGGGCAACATAGCCAGACCCTATCTTCATAAAATGAAAAGAAACAAGTAAATAAAAAGAAAATAAGAGATATTATTTATTGAGTATCTGCGGCATACCAGGCTCATGCTGCCCTTCAGGGAGACAGAAAAAAGGGCAGGGCAGGAAGTGGGGTGACTGGTGTGTTGTGACGATATGTGTAGGTCTAAGAGACACACAGCACTGCATGGAACCATAAAGCAGTCTGTCTGGAGAAGTATGTATCTCAAGGCTAAGTGGAGATTTTTTTTTTTTGAGTCAGAGTCTCACTCTGTTGCCCAGGTTGGAGTGCAGTGGCATGTTCACAGCCACTGCAGCCTCAACCTGCTGGACTTGCTATCTTTCTGCCTCAGCCTTCTGAGTGGCTGGAACCATAGGCATGCGCCACCACGCCTGGCCAATTTTTTGATTTATTGTAGAGATGAGCTCTCACCAAGTTGCCCAGTCTGGGCTTGAACCAGTGAGCTCAGGCAATCCTCTCACCTCAGCCTCTCAAAGTACTGGGATTATAGGTGTGAGCCGCCACTCCCAACTGTAAGTGGAGCTATAAACTTGGTCTCTCTGATGCTGAAGTTCATGTTTTTTTTTGTTTTTTTTTTTTTTGAGTTGTGATCTCACTCTGTCACCCAGGGTAGAACACAGTGGCGTGATCATACCTCAGCGCAGCCTCCAACTCTTGGGCTCAAGTGACCCTCCTGGGTCAGTCTCAGGAGTAGCTGGGACTACAGGCATGTACCACCATTCCCAGCTAACTTTTTGATTTTTCATAAAGATGAGGTCTTGCTATGTTGTCCAGGCTGGTTTCGAACTCCTGACCTCAAGTGACCCTCCCACCTTGGCCTCCAAAGTGCTGAGATTACAAGCAGGAGCCACCACACCCGGCCTGAAATTCGTGCTTTTTTTTTTTTGAGTTGGAGTCTCATTCTGTGCCCAGGCTGGAGTGCAGTGTCACACTCATGGCCACCCCAGCGTCGACTTGCTAGGCTCCAGCGATCCTTCCGCCTCAGTATTCCAAGTAGCTGGAACTACAGGTGTGCGCTACCATGTCTGGCTAATTTTTTTTGATTTATCGTAGAGATGAGGTCTCGCTAAATTGCCCGGGCTGGTCTCGAACCCCTGGGCTCAGGCAATCTTCTCACCTCTGCCTCCCAAAGTGCTGAAATGACAAGTATGAGTCACTATGCCCAGCTCAATCCCTTTCTTATAGTATTATGGTAAATGTTCGGGGTCCACTTAGGAGTGAGAACATGTGGTGATCAGTTCTTTGATTCTGTCATAGATAATTGAGTGTCATTCTTTTCTTATAAATGTACCGAATTGTCCCATTACTACTTTCATGTTGATCTGTGATTTCGCCAGTAACCACTAGCATATATCAAGTGTCCACAAATGTGTGGGTCTCTTTCTGGGCTCTTTGCTCTCTGTTCTCTGTCTCTGTGCAGATACTACACTGACTTAGAGTAGTTTTTGGTTTTTTTTTTTTAAGAAAGTCTCACCCTGTCTAGACTGGAATGCAGTGGCATGATTGTAGGTCACTGCAGTCTCGAATTCCTGGGCTCAAGTGGTCTTCCTACTTCAGTCTCCCAAGTAGCTAGGACTACAGACACATGCCACCATGCCTGGCAAAGTTGATTTTTGTAGAGATAGGGTCTCTGTATGTTGCCCAAGCTGGTCTTGAACTCCTGGGATCAAGGGATCCTCCCACCTCAGCCTCCAGAGTTGCTGTGATCACAGATGTGAGCCACGTGTCAGGCTAACTCTTGGTGTCTGTAATGCATCTTCATTCTAGATCATTCTAGTCAAATGCCATAAAAATTGTTGAGATGTTTTATTAGAATTGTTTTGAAATTATCATATGCAAGGGGGACCCCTCCAAAACCCAGAATTTATTTATTAAGAACTGTGTATTTATTCTTACATGTTTAAACTTCAGTCATCTTCAAAATACTCTCCATTTGATGTAATACACCTACCAAGACACTTTTTCCGCTGCTCAAAATAGTTTTTGAACTCGTTCATTTTGATGCCTTTTACTGCTTCTGCCATTTTTGTGTTTCACTTCTTCCACATTGGCAAAACATTTCTCTTTGAGGACTTTTATCATTTTAGGAAACAAAAAAAGTCATTTGGGATGAGATCGGGAGGGTGGGCACAGGGTCATACTGTTTTGGTTGAGAACTGCTGGACAGTCAGCATGATGTGGGCACGTGCCTTGTCTTGGTGGAAGAGCCAGTCACCTGTGTGCCACAACTCAGGATGTTTCTTCCACAAATTGTGACACAACCTTCTCCGAACTTTCAGATAAAAGCTTTGGTTGACCATTTGATCCAGTGGAACAAATTCTGAGTGTACTACAGGGGGTTCACCCACCAAAAGATAATTCTGGGGTTTTTTGGGGTCCCCTCTCATCTAAATTTAGATAGAGTCAACATTTTTATGGTATTGAGTCTTCTGATCCATGAACATAGTATACCTTTCAATTTACACAACTTATCAAAGTCTACATTTAGTCAGTGTCTTTACACCTTGCTCTCAAACAGTTAAGGACCTTAGAATGCTTTAATGCCTATCACTCCCTCCTCGACTTTTATTCCATAGGTATTTTAGTTCTTTTTAAACTTTTATGAGATATCATTAGTTCAGCATTTGTTTAGATGTACTCACTTGTTATTTACTACTTTTGCTGTTCCTCATTTTTTTTTTTTTTTTTTTTTGAGTTGGAGTCTCACTCTGTCGCCCAGACTGGAGTGCAGTGGCCGCTCCCAGTCTCCGCAGCCTCGACCTGCTGGGCTCTGGCAATCCCTCTGCCTCAGTCTTCTAAGTAGCCGGAATTACAGGCATGTGCTACCACGCCTGGCTGATTTTTTCTTTTTTTTTATTGTAGAGATGAGGTCTCGCTGCCCAGGCGGGTCTTGAACCTGCGAACTCAGGCAATCCACTCACCTCAGCATCACAAAGTCTCGGGATTACAGGCTGAGCCACTGAGCCTGGCCCTCATTCCTTCTTTCATTTAATTATTATTTTTTTTTTTGAGTTGGAGTCTCACTCTGTCACCCAGAATGGAGTGCAGTGGCCGCTCTTGGCCACCGCAGCCTCGACCTGCTGGGCTCTGGAGATCTTTCCGCCTCAGCCTTCCAGGTAGCTG